GGACTCACAGGCCCCATCCCACAGTTTATGATTTAGTGGGGTTGAGGTAGGGCCTGAGAATTTGTACTTCTTCTTCTTTTTTTTGAAGTGTTTGCAATTTTTATTCCAATTACATAAAAATAAAATATATTTAAGTAGAAGTAGAAAACTAGAAGGCACTAACAAATAATAGTAACAGTGGTTATCTTTTAAAATAATAAAAGAGGCAAGGCATGGTGGCTCATGCCTGTAATCCTAGCGCATTGGGAGGCTGAGGTGGGAGGATCGCTCAAGGTCAGGAGGTTGAGACCAGTCTGGGCAACATGGCAAGATGCCATCACTACAAAAAATAAAAATAAAATAACATTTTAATGAGCAAAGGAAAATCAATTTATTTTGTTTTGTTTTTGAGATGGAGTTTCAGTCTGTCACCCAGGCTGGAATGCAGTGGCACGATCTAGGCTCACTGCACCCTCCACCTCCCAGGTTCAAGCAATTCTCCCAAGTAGCTGGGATCACAGGTGCACCATCACCATGCCCGGCTAATTTTTTGTATTTTTATAGAGATGGGGATTTGCCATGTTGTCTAGGCTGGTCTTGAATGCCTGAGCTCAGGTGATCGGCCCACCTTGGCCTCCCAAAGTGCTGGGATTACAGGCCCAGTGTTTTCTTTAATGCTGAAAATTTCTGCTAATATTTCTGACTTTTTGCAAAACATCCTTTGTTGACATTCTACAAATACCATCCAATAATGTTCCCAATACATTCTTCTTGTGGCGGGAGTTTATATTTCTTTTCGAATTTTGTAATATTTATTATTTCAGGAAGATTTCTCAGAGAAACCTGTTGATCTTCTACTTGAGATATTAGATATCCTTGATTTGTTTTTCTCCCTGGTTAGTATAAACAATTAGAACCGAAGTGTCATTTGCAGATACCACATTTTTTTTAATGCCTCTGAAATATTGTTATTTGGGGAAATGTTGAAAATAATTTCAGTAGTTAGAGCTGTTGTCTTCATTTCTTCCAGTTTGTAGAGGCAAGCTGCTTTCATTGCGGCCACAAATGTCTGAAATAGATTGACAGTCACTGCAGGATGTATCAATAAGCCATCAGTGGTTCCTTCCATGGCTTTCTTTCTCAAGTTCCCTGCAGTTTTTATATCTTTAAATAATATTAATAGAAAAAGGGCATGGTGGCTCATGCCTGTAATCCCAGCACTTTGGGAGACTGAGGTGGGTGGATCACCTGAGGTCAGGAGTTTGAGACCAGCCTGGCCAACATGGCAAAATCCTGTCTCTACTGAAAATACAAAAATTAACCAGGTGTGGTGATGCATACCTGTAATCCCAGCTACTCAGGAGGCTGAGGCACGAGAATCGCTTGAACCCAGGAGGCAGAGGTTGCGGTGAGCCAAGATCATGCCACTGCACTCCAGTCTGGGTGACAAAGTGAGACTCTGTCTCAAAAAAAAAAAAAAAAAAAAATTGAAGTCACCTGTCCAGTTGCTGGTGCATCTCTTTCATGTCTTGTAAGTTCCCAGGTGATGCTGATGCTGCTGACTGGGGACCACCCTTTGAGAACCTTTGGCCTAGAGCTGGAGGCACTGAGTATTCTCCAGTTCTTGCAAGACTTGCCAAGAGATTGGAACCCTGCTCTTCCAGCAGTAAGAAGGCTCCTGCAGGCAGACACCTAACCCTGTACCTGCAACAGATTCCAACAGAACCTGTTTGCTAGGGTTGGTCTCACAGAGACCGTTCAATGATAACTCAGAGTGTGTGCAGTTTTCAGAGCTTCCCTTTGCTTCATTTGTTTCTCCTGACAATTCTAGGATACAAACACTGTATCTTCATTTTTGCAGAAAAGAAAGTCAAATCAAGTCTTTGATAAGTGTCATGGTCAAGACTGACGAGTGTCATGAAGCTACAAAGAGGTGGAGTGGGGACCCAGGACTCACCCAGGTCTTTTGAGTCTTCTGTGTTCTCTGTACTTTACCAAGCTGCCCTTCAATCTATTCTTCTGGTGTTTGGGGGCACTTTTTTTTGAGATGAAGTCTTGCTCTGTCACCCAGGCTAGAGTGCAGTGGTGCCATCTCGACTCATTGCAACCTCTGCCTCCGGGTTCAAGTAATTCTCCTGCCTCAGCCTCCTGAGTAGCTGGGATTACAGGTACGTGCCACCATGCCCAGCTAATTTTTTGGTATTTTCAGTAGAAATGGGGTTTCACCCTATTGGCTAGGCTGATTTTGAACTCCTGGCCTCAGGTGATCTGCCCGCCTTGGCCTCTCAATGTGCTGGGATTACAGGTGTAAGCCACCATGCCCAGCCTGGGGCACTGTTTCTAACCAGAAAATTACTTCCTGAGGTGCAAATTAGAGATCATTTTAACACATGCAAAACTATGTTATTCAGAGGGCCATTTTTCTCTGGTTCCATTGTAAAATACAGTAGAAACCTGATCTGGAAGCCCTTACTCATCATTAGAACATGGCATGGAAATGGTCTATTAATTTTCATTGTATTTCAGTCATTGTCATCAGTGGTGTTAATTTTTCTGCACTGTCCAATGTACTGGAGAAGGACTCTCTGGATACGATTGTCCAAAGATAAATTTTGATACTTAGCTCTCAGTTTTGATTTTTCAAATCTCTGATCATTTTTCATTTTCTTTCTTTTTTTTTTTTTTTTTTTAGAGATGGGGTCTTGCCATGTTGCCCAGGCTGGTCTCGAACTTCTGGGCTCAAGCGATCCACCCAGTTCAGCCTCCCAAAGTGCTGAGATTACAGGCGTGAGCCACTGTGCCCCGTGCCAACCGAAGCCTCTTGAATGAGAGATTTAAAACCACGTTAATTCATCCAAGATTCTGCCCCCATCACAGCGTCCTGCATTCCTCCTCAGTGATGCTGAGAGATGCATAGGGCATCAGTTCTGACCAGAGGGAGCCTCCCAAGCCACAAGGAATGGAGACAATTGGGCTTTCTGGCCTTACAGTCAAAACCCTAACCACCCAAGCCTATTTCCCTGGGACAAGACTCTAAGGAGAGAAGAAAGGGGACATGCTGTGGCTCAAGACCGCTGGACAATGTGAAGGTTGGATAGTTGGTCTTGAACAGTGGACAGAGATGAGCCCAGAAGGGCAGTGGTGGCTGAGCAGAGGTAGGAAGAAAGGACAAAGGCTGCCCTGATGCATGACGAAGAGTCCTCCAGAGCAGGATGTCTCTCCCTTGATATCGTCCTCACTTCATTTTTTTTTTTTTTTAATGGAGTCTTACTCTGTCACCCAGGCTGGAGTGCAGTGCAGTGGCATGATAATTGGCTCACTGCAACTTCTGCCTCCTGGGTTCAAGTGATTCTCCTGCCTCAGCCTCCCGAGTAGCTAGGATTACAGGTGCCCCCCACCATGACCTGCTAATTTTTTTGTACTTTTTGTACAGAGATGGGGCTTTACCACGTTGGCCAGGCTGGTCTTGAACTCCTGACCTCAGGTGATACACCCACCTCGGCCTCCCAAAGTGCTGGGATGACAGGGGTGAGCCACCACTCGTGGCCCCATTCTTGGATTTTATGCACTCCATCAATACCTTCTCACCTAAATGTGGTTGGGTAGCTTTGGTGAAAGTCCTCTTTTTCAGTGAAAAAATGATTTCAATATGTAATTTTTCATCTTACATAGTAGCACAAGAAAATGCACCACGTTCTGCAGAAATTTCAGAATTCTGAAAATAAGAGTGAGGAAAATTCAGAGGCTACAACATTCATTACCTTAAACTCCAAAAGACAAGGTTCCAACCCGAAGATTAATATTTACATATTTGCGGCTGAGTGTGGTGGCTCACAACATACCTGTAATCCCCAGTGCTTTGGGAGGCTGAGGCAGGAGAATTGCTTGAGCCCAGAAGTTTAAGACCAGCCTGGGCAACATAGTGAGACCTCATCGCTACCAAAAAATTAGCAAAAAGTGATGGCATGCACCTGTGGTCCTAGATACTTGGGAGGCTGAAGTGGGAGGATCACGTGAGCCTAGGAATTCAAGGATGCAGTGAGCTATGATTGCAACATTGCCCTCCAGCCTGGGTTTCAGAGGGAGGTGCTATCTCTCTCTCTCTCTCTCTTTTTTTTTTTTTTTTTTTTGAGACAGAGTTTTGCTCATGTTGCCCAGGCTGGAGTGCAATGGTGGGATCTTGGCTCTGCAACCTCCAGTGGGCACATTCTTTAAAAATTAATTAATTAAAATGATTTTTATAAACCATTTGGTAAGCTGTAAAGATCCACTGCTAGTATTCTTTTTTTTTTTTTTTTGGAGACGGATTTTTGCTCTTGTTACCCAGGCTGGAGTGCAATGGCGCCATCTCACCTCACCGCAACCTCTGCCCCCTGGGTTCAAGCAATTCTCCTGCCTCAGCCTCCTGAGTAGCTGGGATTACAGGCACACGCCACCATGCCCAGCTAATTTTTTGTATTTTTAGTAGAGACGGGGTTTCACCATGTTGACCAAGATGGTCTCGATCTCTTGACCTCATGATCCACCGCCTGGCCTCCCAAAGTGCTTGGATTACAGGTGTGTGCCACCGCGCCCGGCCCCCAATTGCTAGTATTCTATGAGACCAGCAGAAGAGACTGTGAATAGGAGAATGAGCTCAAAGGAAGAACAAGGGGGAGGAGCTGAAGACAGACTTCTGCTCACAGTTGTGCCTAAATGTTACCATAGCAGTCTCTGGAATATCATCTCCCCAAATACAGTTATATTGCCGGTGTTTGATGTGTTCTATCGGCAGCATTTCGGTATGACTTACTGTAAACTGAAATGTTTCCAACTCTTTGCTCATGTTCCCTGGGTTGCTCACAAACAATCTACAGATAATGCCAAGTGCTACCAGCACTTGGGATGCGAGGCCACTAGGCTACAGGCCCTCGCCCCTGCTAGGGAGCAGTTTTCTCCACCCCCGCTCCCGGGCTATGGGCACGGGAGAGAGGAAGCAGGGGTAGGAATTGCCCCTAATGAGATGCTTTTGGTTTTTTCTTTTTTTCAAAAATTGCACGAAGGTAAAGCAAAGAAAGCTGCAGTTGATACAGGCGTGTTGTGTAGACGTTTACAGTTCCACCATCACTGTGCGCTCATTGGATGGTGACGCAATCCCAGGACAAGGATGGGGGTTGCCCCTAATGTGCTTCCATTCCACTGGGGTGAGGCCCACCAAGCAAATGGTCTATTTGGAAAAACTATAAGGACATTTGCTCTCCTACCTAGAACTGACCTTTGAACTTAGAAGAAAATGAATAAACATAGAAAAAGAAAAAGAAAATGAATAAGCACAACAGAGTTAGGTTGTTACATAGTGAGGTTCGTTTTCCTCTAAAGTAACGAGTCACACCATGCATGTTGAAGTCGACACACTCTCTGTTCCCCCTTCCTGCGGTGTGTTCCCTGCTAATAACTTTATGAGCTCAGGATGAAATGTCAAGTTGAACTTCAGTGTTTGTGGCACAACCAACTATAACTCAGTTTAAGCATATTTTTAAAATTTGATTGAGTGTTTCAATTTACTCTGCACTTCCTGAGGTTCTTGGGTTAAAACAATATGATCTAATGCAATAAAAACTAGCAAGAATATCTATTTATTCTTTATTTCCAGTAGCACAAGGGCAATTGAACCTCCCCAAAGCGTGTCTAAACAGTGTTAAGAAGCCTGCGTGCTAAATGGTTTTCTCTCCTTTCTTGGTGCCTACACATTTAATTAAGAAATCCCTCGGTTTTGCAATGGCATGTTACCAGCCTGGGTGACAGAGCAAAAAAAGAAAAAAGAAAATACCCAGAGTGACGGGAGAGTGAGACTAGGAAGGGAGGGGAGGCCTCACCCGCCCCCCTCCCCCCCCCCCCCGGGGTACTGCCGCCCAGACGTGGGCGGTGTGGAGGAACCAATCACGTGAGACTCGAGGACCATTCCGGGCAGAGGAAACGGCTGGAGATAGCAGAGCGGATCTGCACGAATCATGCTGGGTGCAGATACCTAGAGGAAGGGTGAGAGGAGCTCTGATAAGGGAGGGCACACACCGGCAGCAGGTAGGAGAAATCGGTGCAAAGTGGGGTGGAGGAGGGCAGAGGCAAGAGCTGTCAGGGAGGGCTCTGGGTCAGCTTGCCAGCTGCGGTGAGCCACCCAGTGACCCCGAATCCTCTCCAAGCTGCTGCTTTTTATTTTTATTTTTATTTTTATTTTTTTTGAGACGGAGTTTTGCTCTTGTTGCCCAGCCTGGATGGAGTGCAACAGCGTGATCTTGGCTCACTGCAACCTCCGCCTCCCGGGATTAAGCGATTCTCCTGCCAAGTAGCTGGGATTACAGGGATGCACCCCCACACCCAGCTATTTTTTATATTTTTAGTAGAGACGGGGTTTCTCCATGTTGGTCAGGCTGGTGTTGAACTCCAGACCTTAGGTGATCCGCCTGCCTCAGCCTCCCAAAATGTTGGGATTACAGGCGTGAGCCACTGTGCCTGCTTCTTAGGAGAAGGCTGGTGCTGTCTATGAATCAAAACAGCTACTATGCATGCTTCGGAGGGAGCTTGGAGAAGCTGGCTGAGGACCTCAGTGTTTTCATTCTAGGGTGGCTTTGTGCCAATATATTCTGGATCCAAAATCAAGCCTCTTTGTCCATCAGGTGTCAGTACATGTATGCTACCAGATGGACTCTCAAGGCCAGTGGAGAAGCCTCCTGTGCTTCAGCCTGTGACGCTGGCCCTCTCTCCACATGTGGGTGCTGTCTACCTCCCAAACTCTGCAAAAGAAGCCACTGTCCACCCACACCCAGGTGGCACTGCAAACAAGGTCACTAGGGCAGAGGCAGAAGAGGTTTTCGAGAGGACAAAGCCAGCAGTGGCTCAGTTGTGGAGAGAAGTGAGTCACCGTAGCTCAGTAGCAGGCACGTTGTATGCACTTGCAGTGTCAGGCCTGCGCCCTGGGCGCCACCTGTATCCCTGCCAGTCATCCTACGTAGGATAAAACAAAACCCAGCCTTCTCTGGGTCAAGTTGCTTGTCCATGGCAATCAACTAGGAGGGGATAGAATGAGGGTTTGAATTCAGTAGGTCAGGCTCTTGAGACAATGTACTACATCTTCCGCGCAAAGAGGCGTGTTCATTAAGGTAAGTTCTCTGTCATTTCCCCCTTCCTAGGTCTTTAGAGGTTTCCTTGAAGTTCTGACATTTACTTTGAAATTGCAACCACCCTTCTCTTGCCCCATCCTCAGTTTCCAGGGAGGCTTCTCAGTGGTTAGGACCAGCTCGCTGAATGTAGCCCGACACTGCCACCTGGTGTTGGAGGCCCAGGACATGCCCAGTGGCCACCACAGACATGGGCTGAGACCCAGTGATCCTGATCACAGCTTGAAAAGGTTTTTTTGTGTTGTTGCTGTTGTTTCTTTCTGACTGCAAAAGAACATGCTCATTGCAAAACGTTTAAGTATGCTTGCAGGGAGTAATTGGAAAAGCCTGCTTGGACAATAGAACGTGAAGTCTACTCTGTTTTGACCTCCATAGGATCCTCTAATTGTTCTCATCCCCAAATTCCATCAGATTGTGTTTGTTTTTGTGATGACAGTATTTTTTTTTTTCTTTTTTTGAGACAGAGTCTCACTCTGTCACCCAGGCTGGAGTGCAATGGTGCGATCTCGGCTCATTGCAACCTCCACTTCTCAGGTTCAAGCAATTCTTGTGCCTCAGTCTTGTGAGTGGCTGGGACTAAAGGCATGCACCACTATGCCCGGCTAATTTTTGTATTTTTAGCACACATGGGGTTTCGCCATGTTGCCCAGTCTGGTCTCCAACTCCTGACCTCAAGTGATCTGCCTGCCTTGGCCTCCCAAAGTGCTGTGATTAGAGGTATGAGCCACCATGTGCAGCCTATTATGGTTATGGAGGATAATGGTCTTATTCTCAGGAGAGTCACACTAAAGTGTGCAGGGATATGTCCCACCATGTCTGCAATTGGCTTTCAAATGGTTTGAACAAGAGAGCAGACAGAGACAGAGAGAGAGACGTGGAGAAATAGGACCATGTTAATCATTGAATCTCAGTGGGGAATATACGAGTAGGTGCTCATTGTATAGTTCTTTAAACTTTTTATACGTTTGATATTTTTCAAAATAAGAAGTTTGATATTTTTCAACAAGCATCACTGAGTTGAGTGAGGAGAGAGAAGAGACAGCCCGAATGTCAAACATCCACACTTAAGAAAGCTGACACGAGTACCCTTCCATATGAGTGGGACTCCTAGGCGCTGCATGTTGCTGACGAGCGAACTGAATGATGTAGGTTGGATTCCAGCCTCCACCCTCAATGGCAGCATGGGATCTTGGATACGCAATCTTTCCCTGCCTGAGAAGTTCAGTGGCTCCAACCAAACAAAACATGGTGAAGCTCACACAGCATTAAATGCAGTTCACCAGAGTGATTTGCAGCAAGAACCTCCTATTATGACCATCATCAGGGATTCTTTGGAAGCAGACAAGGGGTCCCCATGAAGAATGGCTGCCAAGGCATCAATGCAGAGGCTTTGCATTTGCTCTGCAGTCTGTGTTGACCTCGTCCCCAGGCGGTTTTCCTTTTTGCTGGTTCAACTACATGGGAACAGCTCAGTTCCTTCCTATAGTGCTCGACACAGACACATTTCTCTTTCTAGGTTCTCACCTTCATTCTCTACTAGCAGCTTTTCCATCACTATTCTATTTTTACCCTAAAGCAGGAAATGCTAGCTCCTAGCAAAGCCCACATGGAAAATAACAATAGGTAAAGAGTCCCGATTAAGTTTCCCAAAGTGCCAGTTGATGTCTTCTCTTTCAGGGTTGGGGCAGGCGCGTGTGGAAGAAGTAGAATGAAAAGATCCTACCAGGATCGTGGGAACCAGAGAGCGCCACTATTTCTGAAGTTAATGGCTTCAGTCACCTGGTAAATTCTTCTGGGAGACCTGCATTTAACCAAAGTAAATGTTGAAAAAATGTTGCAATTAGTTCACAGCATTGGAAACCCCACTGAGGGAAAGCAGGGAAAGGGATTTTGTAATGAAGCCTCTCCTTCCCCAGACCTGCACCTTTTGTCCCAGGCCTGTCTGCAGGGCTCCACAGTTATGACCTCATTCCTGTGAGATTTCTTGAAGGAAATTCACACTGTGTTCAAACTGGAAATGGTTTTTTGCACATTTAAAAGAGGACCCTGGGCCAGATGCAGTGTTTCTCACGCCTGTAATCCCAGCACTTTGGATAGCTGAGGCAGGTGGATCACCTGCGGTCAGGAGTTTGAGACCAGTCTGGCTAAGTGGTGAAACTCCATCTCTACAAAAACACATTAGCCGGGCCTAATGGTGGGTGCCTGAAATCCCAGCTACTTGGGAGGCTGAGGCAGGAGAATCGCTTGAATTCAGGGGGCAGAGGCTGCAGTAAGCTGAGATGGTTGCAGTGAGCTCAAACCTGGGAGGCAGAGGTTGCAGTCAGCCCAGGCTGCACTCCAGCCTGGGGAACAGAGACTCCGTTAAAAAAAAAGAAAAAATCATTAACTAGGCAGCCTATAGTGCTATAGAATACTTATTTCTCACATCTAGCTGTAATTTTTATACCCTTTAACCAATTAACTGATCAATTTCTCCCTATCCCCAGCCTCTAATAACCACTTTCTACTTCTATCATATCAATTTCTTTAGGTTCTGCATATGAGAAGCATGCATCTTTCTGTTTCTGGCTTATTTACTTAATGTCCTCCAGGGAATGACATGATTTCATTTTTCTAATGGCCAAATAGTATTCCATTGTGTACCACGCTTTTATTCATCCTGTGACAGACACTTCAGCTGATTCCCTATCTCAGCTACTGTGAATAGTGTGAATAGTAAACATGGGGTTGCAGATATCTCTTTGATATACTGCTTTTCTTTCCTTTCGGTATAGGAAATGCCAAGAATGGAATTGCTGGATCATAGGGTAGTTTTATTTGTAGTTTTGGTTTTGTTTTTGCTTTTTCAGACAGTGTCTTGCTGTGTCGCCCAGGCTAGAGTGCAGTGTCATGATCTCAGCTCACTGCCATCTCTGTCTCCTGGGTTCAAGCAATTCTCTTGCATCAGCCTCCCGAGTAGCTGGGATTATGGGCATGCACCACTGTGGCTGGCCCTAT